GGGGGATTGTGTACCAGGGAGGGAGTCTTTCTTTTAATTTTGAAAGAGAGGAGCGAACTGAGGGGGCCAGGGGAGAGTGCTGGGCGGGTAGAGAAGTGCAGCAATGAATGAATGGAAATCCAAATTCTCTGTAAATGTTCATTAAAATTATATATATAAAAAAAGACAGAGCCTCTCACTAGAATCCACCAGCTGCTCTGTAGAAGAAAGGTGGCTGATTTCTTTCCCTGCAAGCTACAGCCTCAGAACACTTGCTAAAGGGTCAGCCATGAGTTGTTTCTACCTCAATAGCAATTAAGTTATAGGGTGATTAACACTACTCCATAAGTTTCTTTGGTTCAAAATACCTACAGATTAAATATCATAATTAATACAAACCTCAATGCATATATTTTTGGCATATTCAATCAAAGTTTCCATTTCTTCCTCCTGTTGTCCACCCAGATGGCTTCTGGTCTTCCTTCAGGTCTGAACTTAAATGGCAGAGAGGCTTGGCCTGAGCTCCCATTCAGTCTTTGTGTTAAGTGACACGAGTCAGTTCTCATCCATAGGTGATCCTACAACAGAATGAGACATTGCTGGGTCCTCTACCATTCTTGTAAACTTTGCTTGGTTTTCGACCGCACTGTTAATGACCATCATGTCAATCATTTCCTTAACAGTCTCCCTCTTTTTCGTCAACCTTACCAAGCATGCTGTCCTCTCCAGGGTCTGATACTTTCTGATAACATGTCCAAATTACATGAGAAGAAGTCCTGACGTCACACTATCCTCACTTTGAAGGAACATCCTGGTTGCACTGCTTCCAGAATAAATTTGTTTATTCTTTGGGTAGTCTATGATATTTGGAAGCAGGAGTATCATCCACTTCCTAAACCACATGCCTCTGGAAACTCTATGAATTTTGATAAATGACACTAGTTATAGAAAGGCTTCAGGCCTTTTGTTCATAGGGTCAGTCATGTTCAACTCGACGGCAATCAAGAAGTCTATGGTCTATTTAATGTTCTTTACCAACACTGTAATTCAAATACATCAATTCAATTCCCATCTCCTTTATTGTTTAGCTTTCACACACATATATTAAACACACACACACACACACACGCCCCCCCACCCTAACCAAACCCACAAAATCCATTACTGTTGAGTCAGAGACGACCCATAGCTGACCCTCCAGTAGGTTTTTGGAGACTATAAATTGCACAGAGATTGTCTATCTTTCTTGTGAGGAGCTGATGTGGATTAGAACTGGCTGTCTTTAGGTTAGCTGAGTAACAGAAAATACCATGGCATGGGTCAGGCACACCTTAGTCCTCAATGTGGCATCTTTGCTTTTGAACACTTTCATAAGTCTCTCTCATAGGCCCTGCCATTTCTTATTGTTGTTATGTGCCATCAAGTTGCCTGTGACTCATAGCAACCTTATGTACACTGGCTCTGAAACCTGCCCTAAATTGAGCCAATCTCATTGTCTCTGACAGACCTAATCCCATTTCTCCAGTCACTGAGTCACTCCATCTCATCCTGGGCCTTTCCCTTCTGTGCTGTCCTTCTATGCATTATGTCCCTCTCCAAGGACTGGTCCCTCCTGGCCACATGCCCAAAGTATGCAAGACAGAACTTCAAAATCCTTGCCTCCAAGGAGCAGCCTGGTTTCACCCTCTCCATGACAGATCTGTTTGTTCTCCTAGTAGTCCAAGGTATGTTCAATACTCTTCTCCAGCACCACAACTCAAAGGCATCAGTCCTTTTATCATCCTTAGTTATTGTCCATCTCTCAGATACATAGCAAATAATTGTGAAGGCCATGGCCTGGATCAGGTGCACCATAGTCTCCAGACTGACATTGTTGTTCTTCAGTACTCTAAAGAGGTCCCTGACAGCAGACTTTCTTAGTGCAAGCTGATTTCTTGACTGCTGGTGCCAAGAATGTTGATTGTGGAACCAAGCAAGCTGAAATTATCAACAATCTCAATTTCTTCCCCATCTATCATGAAGCTGCTTATTGGCCCAGTGGTGTGAATTTCTGTTTACTTGATGTTGAGCTTCAATCCATATTGAAGACTACAGTCCTTGACCTTCTGCAGCAAACACCTCATGTCCTCTTCAGTTTCAGCAAGCAAGTTCAAAACCTTTCATCCATTCATTGTGCTTATTCCTTTAACTATGTAAGCTCTCTGTTCATATTTGTATTCCTAGAGGTTAGCCTCTGGGGATGCAACAGTTAGGTTGCTAATGAAAAGGCTAGTGATTGAAACCTATTCAGGGGCTCTGTGGGAGGAAGATTTGGTTATATGATGATTACAGGCAGCAACAGAAGAAAGCATTTTACACCCTGCCTGCATCATCTTACCCCAGTACAAGCCCCAACCCCTTGGTATACTTTCTATGCATCTGAGAGCTAGATAATAAGGATGACAGAAGAAGAATTGATGCCTTTGAACTGTGTTGGAGAATACTGACTATCCCATAGATGGCCAAAAGAACGAACAGGTATGTCTTGAAGAAGGTGCAGCCAGGGAGCTCCCTGGAGACAAAGACGATGCAACTTCATCTCATATACTTTGGGCATTTAGCTAGGAGGGGCTATTCCTTGGAGAGGGGCATCATGCTTGGAAAGGCAGAGAGACGGTGAAGGAGGAGGAGACCCTTAACCAGGCAGACAGACACAGTGATTGCAGCAGTGGGCGTGAGTAGGTGAGAGACAGATTAGCATAGGACAGGGTTGCTATAGTAGCACTCAACTCGACAGAATCTAACAACAACAATAAATCAATTACAGCCTGAAAAGCCCTCTAGGATAGTTCTTCTCTGTCACATGGGTTTGCTATGAGTTGGAATCAATGTCATAGCACCTAACAACATAACAGCAGCACAGTACTCGGTTCATTGCATGTAATTAATAAACATGTTGAGTAAATGAATATTTTTATGAGGAAAAATTTTCAAGGCTGTTTTACTTATTAGGTATTTGTTCCTACTACTGCACTATCTCCCCAAAGAGAGATGCAAATGTTGCTCCTTTCCTTCATCCCTCCAACACTGCCTTATGTAGTGTGCTGTCAGAACAGAAATACAAACTATGTGGTTTTAACAACAGAAATGACATTTTCTCACAGAGGTTCCCCGCACCTTTGAGTTAATTCTCTGTTATGGTGACTCTCTTTGGTTCCCAAAGCTGTAGGTCTTTATGTTCATCTGTCATGGAGAGGCTGGTACATTTGAATCACCGACTTTTTTGGTTAGTGACCCAGCATGTTATGCACTATGCCACCAGGGCTCTTTGTAAGAGTCTCTCTCTCATTGCTGTTATGTGGGAACTGACTTATAGTTCCACTGAGTTTCCAAGGCTCTCAACTGCATGGAAGGAGGCTACGCACCTTTTTCCTTTGGAATGGTGGGTGGGTCTGACTCCCAGAGAAGCAAGGTCTTCGGGTTAGCAGTGCAAATCGCTGTGGAAACCTGAATTCTGGGTACTGGCTTTAAGGGGAAGGTTTCTCTCTCTGTCTCTCCGGGGTGGGTGGGTGTATTCCTGTGTCTTTAGCTTCTAGTCCTCAGCTCCTTGATATTTCGGTGTTGTGGGATCTATATCTCTGTATGTTTGTTTAATCTTTTTTTATCTCTTGCTGCAGTAACAATCGATTATAAATGGGACTGAGGTTAGGATTTACAACACATATTATTTGAAATAAAGACGACACAATTCAGTCCATAACAGAGGGATGGTAAATCTGGAACTTCGTTGAAAAGTCGATGGCTCTTAAGGGGGGGGGGGTTGTCAAGTTCCCTGAGGTGCAAAGTAATTCCACTAGTAATAAATGTGACTAAGGCAACCCAGGTGATAATAAAAAGGCTGTTAAACTTAACACTCATTTGGTTCTTGGATCCTTGAAACGACAAACTCTGGCTATTGCAATTAGAGAGAATTAGTCTAGTATTGAAAACAAGTGGGTTGGGTTTGTTTTGGGTTTGTTTTTTTTTTTTTGTCCTCTTTTTTAAATTGCATAATAGATGGGGGCATCCTACGCCATCTCTCAGAAATTAAGATCAGATGTGTGCATTCAGCCTGCGCTCCAGGAAGTCTCTTGCAGCAAGCGTCTTTGCCCGATGGGGGGCGGTACCATCCAAATAACTTAAGCCTGAAGATTTGTAGGTGGAAGGAGAGATCGCGTTCAAAACCTTCTTGACTCTACCCGCTCTCCGTAGCGCTTTAGCCCGCTCGTGTTTCAATGCGCGTTGTTGCTCGGCGAAGCTGAGTCCTATACATCGCCCGCTGCCCTCCTGATCATGGCCTCTCCGAGTTCATTCACCTACTTTTGCCCTCCATCCTCCTCCCCTGTCTGGTCAGAGCCGCTGTACAGTCTGAGGCCGGAGCACGCGCGGGAGCGGTTGCAGGACGACTCAGTGGAAACAGTCACGTCCATAGAACAGGTGAGGTGGCGGGAGCAGGGAAGCAGCCGCGCGGGGGCTTCTGGGAGCGGGAGTCCGGTCTGCCTGTCCGCCCGGGTGCGGGACTCACCGGGAAACTACTACTCCCACGGTGCACCGCGGCGCCGCCCCATTGCGAGGTTTTGGGCGCCTAGGATAGGGATTCGGAGTGGAGAGTTTTTGGGGGTCAGGTCTGGAAAGGGTCAGATAACCTGGTGTGCGCCTGGAGATAGTCTCGCCTTCTCTGTGCCTTAAGGATGAGAAAGAGAGAGATTGTGTTTTGTGCCGGAAGGACTGGCAGTCCACGCCCTTCTCCAGGGCAGCGGTGGTTCTCGGCTGCCTGATGCCTTTTCGCGTCCTACCTGGTTTTTAGTTTTAGGACCTAAAGTGGGAAAGGAGCGGCCAGATTACGAGCATACTATTTTGTAATCTGCTTAATATCTGACCCACACAGCCAGGTTTGTGGCCTGCGTCGCGGGTGATCATTTCTGTCATTCAGACAGTTGAATTTGAGCACCATCTACTTGTGTGTTAAACGCTAGGGATACAAAGAGAAATGAGCTTCTAATGTGGAGCTGCGCACAGACTAGTTGGGGGAGACTGGAAAACAATACCAGAGTGCCATAATGAAAGTATGAACTTGGGACTCCTTGTCATTCTTTAAGGTTTAGAAGTACGACTGAATCTGTCATTTTTAAAAGTGGGAAATGAGCTGGGAACTATAGTTTTGCTCTCCTTCTCATTCACCAATTGGAATTGCTCCCAAATCAATTACTGGAGAATTATTTACCCATCTACCATCAGGAGAAGGAATCAAAATGATACTTTTTGGCATTAACAATACAGAATCAGTGTCTAGCTAAATTAAGATATCTTAGTATTATCAGTCCCTAAGCATAATCTTTTTGGGACTGGTATTGTCAGCTTGAAATTGGAGCCCCTCATTTAAAGAAAAGCAATAGCAGTGTAGCTGTTAGGCATATATTCATGCTTATAAATTAATAACAAAAACAAAGGCCTGAACAAAGCAATATATATAGTAGGCAGAGAAAATATTTTAACCACACTCTTGCACGATTCATTAGTTTTAGGGTAGAAAAGAAAACCTTCACATTTTGAGTCTCGCTACTATTTGTTAACTACTGCTTCTTTTAGGAGGAATCTTGTAGAAGGTTGCATAGAAATCTCTCATCAACAGAACTCTATCAGTATTTTTGCAGTGATAGATTATTGAGTAGATTCAAGCTGTGTCTTTTTCTTTTTTTTCCTGAGCTTAAACTATGAGGTCACCTTTTATATAGTTAAATGAATGTATCCAGCAGCTGATACCATGGATAGGATACCGATGGGAAAGGAAGGAAATCAAAGTGGTTTGTTAATTTAAGGATCAGAACAGAGACTTTCGTGGTCATAGAATCTTTTTGAAACAGGAACATTACTACAAGCTTTTCTGACCTGGCTACTTCTTTCTTTCTTTTCTTTTTTAATAAAGTACTCCTGCACTGTTGCTGCTACGAAAGCTAACGCTATGTTACAAATAACTAGGTAACCATGCGTAATGGAGACATCAAGGTTCTGGCCTGCCAAAAAGAGGCTCCAGGGCAGAGCCATAGGTGGAAGGTAGATCCTGGAAAGGAAATTGTGTTTATGGGTGTCTGTCAAACCTAGACCCAGTGGATGGTGAATCCTAAACCCAAAACCAAACCCACTGCCATTGAGTGGATTTTGGCTCATCAGCCATCAGGTTTTCATGAATGGTGGATCATAGAGCATCTTACATATCTTGCCCATGTTATTCCAGTTCACATTTTAAAATACAGGATAAAATAGCCGTTATTCTCATGGTTGTCCTGATGTTTTAATAATTTAGTAATACTCACTGTTTATTGGGCCAGCATGGCCCTTGCAGTGTACTGCATTACAGGTTGGACTGCCACACCAAAGGTCAGTAGTTTGAATCCATCGGCCCCTCTGAGGGAGAAGGATAGGCAGTCTCCTCTTATTAAGACTTATGGGTTTAGAAACCCAATAGAGGGTTCAATGCATGAGTTGGAACCGACTAGAACTGAATGGACTGCAGTGTGTCTTTGGTTTTAGCACCTCTTGATAGATGGTCTTCGTACATTGTGCTGTTCAGTCCTTACACATCCTTTGCAGATGAGGAAATGGTATAATCAAACCCAAACCCATTGCTGCCAATTTTGACTCATAGTAACCCTCCATGACAGTAGGACTGCAGAGTAAGGTCTCCGAGGCTATGTTGTTTATGGGAGCTGGCTTCCATTTTTTCTGCCTTGGAGTGGGCTGGTGGATTTGAACCAGGCCTTCAAACTGGTTGGCCACTTACTGAGACTTTGATTTTCCATCCCAGATATATTGAATCAGAATCTACACTTAGTTAAATTCTCAGCAAGGATTTAAACTAGAATTAACTGTTTGAAAGCCCTACTTTGAACATCTAATGATGACAGAAGAGGAATCGATGCCTTTGAGTTATGGTATTGAAGAGTATTGACTATCCCATAACTGCCGAAAACGAACAAATGTGTCTTGGAGAAAGGGCAGGAAAGTGAAGATGGTTCTTGAGGCAAGGGTGCTGAACCTTTGACTCACATGCTTTGAGCATGTTGCTAGGAGGAGTCTTTGGAAAAGGACATCCTACTTGGAAAGATGGAGGGTTAGTGAAAGAGAGGAAGACCCTCAACAAAATGTGTTGGGAAATTGGAAGAATCTGCTCTGAAAACAATGTATTTGAATTTTGTAAATAAACTAGTATAATTTTTTTTTTTTAAATGAATGGACACAGTGATTGTAAGGGCTCAAGCACATTAGAGATTATAAGGATAGTACAGGATATGGCAAGGTCCAGATCCATTGTTCGTTCATAGAGTCACTGTGAATCATAGTCTGTTTGATGGAACCTGACAACAACAACAACAACAACAACAATGACCATCTTTTGTTTAGCTGTCACTGTATTACCAAGACTCCTTAATAATTATATAGTCACACACACACGCTAAACCAAACCGATAACCAAAACCACCAGCTTTCCTCCAAGAAGTTATTTACAGAAAGTAAGAAAGTCCAAACGCACTGCCTTTGAGTCAGCTCGTAACTCACAGCAACCCAGTAGGGTTCTAAGACTGCAAATTCCTAAAGCAGCACATAGCCTTGCGTTTGTCCTACGAACCACCAACGTTTTAGTTAGCAATGAAATGCTTAACCACTTATACCACTAGGTTCTATGCAGGTAACTATTGTTAATCTTTAGGTTCTAACCTGCTGTTATGTTGATGTGCTGTCAAGTCGCCTGTGATTTTTTTTTTTTGTTTTTTTTCTTCTTCTTCATTTGTTTTTTTTTTGTTTGTTTTGTTTTTCGATAATTATATTTTATTAATTTTCATAAACATTTACAGAGATTTTGGGCTTCCACTCATTCATTGTTGCACTATTCTCTCTACCCTCCTCCCAGTTTGTTCTTGTCCAAATGCCACAGTGCTTGTCAGAGCCAGTTCTGATTAATCTTCTTTGTCAGTGTATCCTTTGCCATTCCCTATCACTCCTCCCTGAGAGAGACTTCACCCTGAGTCATAAGGAAAAGGGGACGGTGTATTCTCTTAGCTACTTCCTGCTGAAAAGGGACGCTGTAAGTCGCCTGTGATTGATAGTGACCCTAGGAACAATGGCTGGGAGCCTTGCCCTATCCTGAACCAGTCTCAGTCTCTGACACACCTGACCCCATTACCACAGTCACTGTGTTAATCCATTTTATCCAGGCTCTACCTCTCCTGTGCGGACCTTCTACCCTTCTAAGCATGATGTCCTTCTCCAAGGACTGACCACATGTCCAAAGTATGTAAGAAGGAACTTCAGAATCCTTGCCTCAGGAGCAGCCTGGTTTTACCCTCTCCAGGACAGACTTGTTTGTTCTCTTGACAGTCCGTGTTAACCACGGTATGTTCAATACTCTTCACCAGCACCACAACTCAAACTCCTCTTCAGTTATCCTTATTCAGTGTCCAGCTCTCAGATATCTAGCAAGAAATTGAGGTGTACCCTAGTCTCCAGTCTGATACTGTTGTTTAGCCGCTGGAGAGGTCCTTGACAGCATATTTTCCCAATGCAGCTCATTTTTTGACTTCCTGACTGCTGGTGCCAAGGGTACTTGTAGATCTGAGCAAGAAGGAATCTTTGACAACTTTTATCTTTTCTTCACCTGTAATGTTACTGCCTATTGGTCTGGTGGTGAGGATCTTTGTTTTCTTGATAGTGGGATTCAATCCACATTGAAGGCTCTAGTCCTTGATCTTCTACAGCAAACACCTTAGGTCCTCCTCAGTTTCAGCAAGCAAGATTGTATCATCTGTATAATGCAGATTGTTGTTGACTCTTCCTCCAATCCTGATGCCACATTTTTCTTCATAAAGTCCAGGCCTCTTGAATCATCTGCTCATCAGATAGATTGAAAAGATATGGAGAAAGGCTACTTCCCTGGCATGTTCCTATCTTGATTTTAAACCGTGCAGTGTTACCCTGCTCTGTTCTGGAAGTAGCTTCTTAGACTAGTTATAGGTTTTGCATGAGCACAATCAAGTGTTCTGGTAAGATTCTTAGTGAAGCTTCCATTTATTCTCAGGGCTCTATTGACAGCACAGTTTTATGCCATTACCAGCAGAAGCAAGTGCTTATCATCTGTATCCCACCTGGTTATCAAGAGATCTTTTTAATGTAGTTATTAAACAATAATTAGATAATAAGAATTAAACCATAAACTATGTAAAGAATCCTTAGCTGCATGTTTTTCTGTTCCATTCATTCCTTTTCAGCATTCAGCAAATACTTGAGTGCCTTTGTGTGCCAGGCACTGTTCACTGGGCATAAGGCAGTTTAAGGTTTAATCTTTATGACCCAATTATTGTTTAATGAACAAATGAAAAAGATCTCCTGTTAATCAGATAAGAAACAAATGAGTCGTTGCCTTTATGAAACTTGTTCTAGGC